GCCCGCTGCCCGCCCCCCGGGAATTGTCAACTTAAAGAAAAAAAAAGTGCAAATGCCCGGGGGTTGCCCGGGGGGGGGGGGATGGGCAATGCTAGAATTGACTGATGCATAACATTTAACAGTGTATCAATTTACCAAAAATTGTGAAGGTGTAGGGGTGCATTGGAACCAATATTTTAACCCATTGAGTGGTAGTACTCTCCCTCTGACAAGTAAAATCGTCTGGCATTAGACAGAGTAAAATAATAAAGTAGGGCGCATCTGGGCACATTGCCACTTAAAGGGTTAACAGGGTGCATGGGTAGATAGTCTAATTAACCCATTGGGTGGCAGCACTCTCCCCCTGACGAGTAAATATTGTCTGGCGTTAGTGTAAAATAATAAAGTAGGCTCATCTGGGCGCATTGCCACTTAAAGGGTTAATAAGTTCCAGGGCTCATAAATGGATCTGGAAAAATGTATTGAGTCTACTACTTAACCATTTATGGTTATGTGTTACTTTGTCTGCTGTCATCTTAGAATATATGTCTATGGTAGTATGGCTATGTAATTAAAATTATGTCATGCATGCATGCAGTAATGTGATCTATTCATATATTTAGTTGATGTTTGTCATTGAATGAACTTTCATTCATTCATTCATTCAATGAACTATTCTTTTTCCTAATGAAGACAGAGTTCTGGTTCATGCCATGCTTTTTTATCAGTTCTAGCTGGAACCAAGTTCTGGTGCACCCCTACACGTTATTCCACACCATGGGTGACAAAGCTTGTCAACAGGATGAGCAAAAATGTGATTAGCAACTCTCTCAGCATATACAACACTTTTCCAGGCCTAGTTAAAAAATACATCTGCCACCCAGGTTGAAATGACCAGGCACCAGGTTGGCAATTGTCTGGCAAAAATATATGTTCATCAAAAATGATATGTCAATATAACACAAAAATGCAAAATTTAACAACCTATAGTCTTAGATCATTTGCAGAATTACTGCCAGTAGCATAGCATTATACACAAATAGCCTAGTCAACTTCATGTAGATTTCATTTTTGTGGAGGTAGCCAATCTTTGAATGAAGCTAGTCTATGCTGGCACAGCCTGCAGTATGTCCAGGCTTAGATAGCAGCTGTGCTGTAACCCTGGGCACATGATATTTTTCTTCAGAATTTTTAATTCAACTTGCACATACAGTATAATATTTTGAATTTAGAGTTAATCTGTTAGACTACGGAGGTTGTGTTGCTCCTTGGCTCACTAACTTCTGCTTCCTTGCACAAATCAAGCACAAACAAACAAACACACTTGACACTTCACAGGCCCACCTGAGAAAAATCAGCATGGAGTATTTGAACAGCACTGAGCCAGTTAGGTTGGCACATGATTTTTAGTATTTTTTCAGTTCACACCACCTCTAATTGCTGTAGAATACTACTTACACTGCTCCCACATTTTAAATAAAATTTATTTTATTTTGAAGAGTCCTGAAAGGAAAATTCCTGACCGAAGCCTGGTGTGTGATTTTTGCCTGCAAACAGCTGATAGCAACAGGAAAGGTGAACCTGAAGATTTGTTGATATGTAGAGATTGTGGAAACAGAGGTAAAGTACATATAACTGACCTAGGGCCGGTTGTTCGAAGCCTGTTTAGCTTAAACGGTGGATAAGTCAAAATTAAATAACAGGTTAATTAACATATTTTATAAATGACTTAAATCTCATTCACTAAATATATACAGTAGTAAAATGTTGCCAACATAATTGTTCTACTCAAGTTGAAATATTTTAGTTTGGTTACTTGATGAATGTATAAACTTGATCAATATTTTTAACTTATCCACTGTTTAGCCTAAACGGGCTACAAACAAATGTGCAAAGATTGTCTCTAGAAAGGGTTAGACAGACAGCAAAATGATAATGGCGTTGGTGTAATACAATGGGTACACCAAGGGCAAGACTGGTGACTGACAAGAGGCAGATAAGCAGATTCTCTGTCATACTAAATGCACACTTTTTCTGCCGCATAATCAGTACTCATTAATTCATGTGACTCTTTCCCTTCATTTCATGTTTAATTAATGCACAGTACTACATTTACTGTATATGACACAGCACTTGGGAAAAGGCAAGGTTTTATTAGTAATGATTTTTTAAAATTTGTTTATTTTACAAAAACCTATATGCAACTGAACCTTGGGTCTATTTCTCATTTCTCTCATTCATGGCACACGTTGATTTTTGTACACAGACTTTAAATCTCTGCAATATTGTATTGTTTTATTTCAAATGCAGCTCACCCATCATGCATGGATTATTCAGTGGAGTTAACAGCAAGGATAAGAGCTGATGGTGGATCATGGCAATGTATTGATTGTAAAGCATGTGTCATGTGCCAGGACTCGGGAGATGCTGTGAGTTCAAAATATTGTTGTTTTCTTCCATTGTTAATAATGAATGTTAATAATGATCAAGTTCTTTCAGCATGAAATTGTTAGCATGAAAAGCTGTTAAGATTTAAATGAAAAACACTTCAGAATGTTTAGCAAAGTTTAACGTTATAGGATTGAAAATTGAAGTTTGTAGCAGATATAAGAACAAATGTACATAATTATTATATATGTTGGGGATTGAAAATTCTACTGTATAGTGAAAACAAGTATAATTTTTGTAGAACAAATTTTAAAATGTTACCATGGTTATCCAGGGCTCCAAATAACATTTCCAACGTTCCCGATCATGCTGATAAGCAATCATGATTTTCTGCTGATCAAATGAAAATCTGGCCAATCAGTATATATAGGATAGGTTCTTTTTATATGTTCTGTGATAATACCGTAGTATTGCATGGTGTCTGTTAAGTGTTAACGACATTAACCATGTTTTTGAGATGATGGTTCTTGCTGATCAAGATGACGGACAATCTTGCTTCTCTGTCAATCAAAAGCAATTTCCTGCCGATCATTGATCGGCCGTTATTTCAAGCCCTGTTATCACTAACTTCACCACAGCAAACAAAATACGTCCTAGTTGCATTTTGTTTTGAGGGGTTGCTGCATGCATGCATATCTAGTAAGTGTTTCATTTCTGTTTTCAGAGCAGTCTTCTTTTTTGTGATGCTTGTGACAAAGGTTATCATATGCAGTGCCATACTCCAAAGTTACAGTCTATGCCTACAGGTATTGTATGATCCACTGGGAAATTACTATTGGCAGTTACAGTAGGTTCCTTTTTAACTCCTTTAAGAGGTTAATTGGTTCTCTAATTTATCTTTAGGCCAAATGATTTTTGCCGTTCAAATGTGAACAAGTAGATGAGTTATGAATGTTCAGATGAGGGTCAGTGGCAAAGCCAGCCCGACAATTTGGTCATGCTATGCAAATTTTAAATCATCATTGTTCATTTCTTTACCAATTGATTGTTTTCACGGTGTATAACACAGAAATATTTGCATAGCATGACCAAATTGTCAGGCTGGCTTCACCACTGGTGAGTGTACATACATACAGCCAAAACATGCATAATTATTAACTCATCTACAGTACTTGTTACATCAGAAGAAGAAAATCGCAGCAAAAATTGCACATGTAAAACAGGCCTTTTTGTAAACATGGTTTTCAACTGACTTTTGCATTGTTTAGCTGTGAACAGGATTTTTGGATTGTTTTTGATTTCTTGTTCTTTGTTCCAACATCTTTGGTAAATATCTCAACAAAATGGGATAAATCAGTTATAGGAAAATGACTGATATAAACGGTTTTATTGGGAAATGGCGGTTATGGTTTATTGAAGAAAAGGAGAGTGGATAAGGGACTGGTCATAAAGTAACTGCTAGGGTGGGCTGGAGGTAAATCACAAATTTTGCCAATACGTTTGGTGACCCATCTTAGGACGTAGATAAAAATTTCAAAGCCCATCTAATCTTGCCAAATTTATTTCTGTTTGGTGGCCCAACCATGCACATACCAAAAAATTGGCGGCCCATCGAAACTGCCCAAAGATTTTCCATGGCCCATCCCAAATCACTCCAGCCCACCCTAGCAGTTACTTTATGACCGGTCCCTAGGGTGAAGAAGAAAGCTCTTTCACCCCTATAGCTGTATGCCTGTATCTCATATCAATGGCTACATCTTTTTATTGAATTTTTTTTGCACTTTAGGAAAATGGGCTTGCTTCAACTGTTTGACTATGTTGTCCCCAGAGGAAGTAATGGCCAGTATCCAAGCACCATCAACTTTCATTCCTTCAAAAATTTGTTCTCCTGCTGAAGATGAAGAACAAATGGTTATGGATGCAGTAACTTTGATCACTGACGACATTATGCCAGAACCTACGACAGAAATACTAACCACAGGTAGTAATATAAATGTAGCAGAAACACGAGTGTTTTATTGTGTTCTACAGTACCATAGGATGTCATCGTGACAAATCCTTGACAATGGACAACTTGCATGTTAGACTCATTTTTGATCTAGGCAAAAAAAATTTCCGTAAAATTGCAAAATATTTGGTTGCGAAATGTTGTAAAATACGGAAAATATAGCCTTGCGAAGTTTGCATATTTTGTATATGTTTGTATTTATACGTGCGGAAATTGTTACCATTTTTGAGCCGAAAATGGTAACAATTTCCGCACGTACAGTAATACAAACATTTGCAAACTTTGCAAGACTATATTTTCCAAGCTTTACAACATTTTGCAACCAAATTTTGCAATTTTACTAATTCCACTAGTATGTTCTTTTTAGCTGTGGTGTTTGATTCCCTTCTCTTAACTTAGATTAAAATTTAGTCTTGCATGCAAGTTGTCCATTGGGGCAGTCATTTTATGGGATGCATTGAGAGAAATATAAATTCTACAGGCATGTGACACATACTCTATGTATCAAAATATTCCTCTAAGTGAGGTGAATCTAATAACTACAATATAATTGGACAAAACCTTGAGTTGACAAAACCTTCAGTTGGCGTACAGTAATACAGTATGACTCAAGTGGTCAATCATTGAACTGAGGTCAATTACAGTAAAACGACAAAGAAACGAAATGGCTGTCAATGCATCTTATGTAAATGAGTTCTCCGACAAATATAAAAGCCAATATAAAACAGTATAAAGCAAAATAAATGCCATCCTTTACCCTTGACCTCCGCGTGACGTCATGCAGTATGAAACCCGAGAATTGGGGCAGTTTTCAATTGCTGTTTGAACTTCCTTGAAAAAGATGCAGAAATTCTCGGACGAGTGAAAATTGCGGAAGGACTTCGCTTGAAATGTCAGAGTGTTTTTAATCTTTTATATATTTCAGACACCAATAGGGCAGCTACAGTAATTGCTATTATTAATCCATTCTATCATTTATTCCAAATCTCAGATTTGCTATTAATTTTAAACATATAAAACTGACCATAACTATAAAAGTTGCCTGAAATTGAGCGTGCATCTGTCGTTAGAAATGTACAATGTACTGTAAAAATACATCACCGATGGTCTGATTGACCGACCGTCTAGTATAAACACGTGGTGAATTAACCAGTCGAACTAGCTGGAAAAACCACTTCATTACTAGAAATAGTTCTTGTAATTTATTATGCCTCAGTGTGGATTATAACAATTTCGCTTAGGTCTGAAAAATGTCCGCTCAAGTATGCAGTTTCTCGGGCATTGGCTATAATGATGATCAGCCAGCTTTTCAATATTTACACTGACTGGTCGTGCTGATCACTTTGCGCATGACCAATCGTGACCGATCATACTTAACTTTTGGTAAGCAGTCCCAGCAATCCATGCAACAGAAAAGTTCTTTGTCCCTATTGTTGTCGAATTTTCTACATGTCTGGTATATAAACTTGGACCATAAACTTTTGTTGCCCGTCAGAGCGAACTTGCATGCTTTTTGAGCAGTACTTAATTTAAATGAAAACTGTGTATTCTATCTGATCGGTCAACATGTCCGTGCAGAATACAATTAATCGGCCAGTCAGTGTTTTTGTTCGGCAATTGTCGACCGTTATAATCCACACATTTATAGCCGGCGGTTTTAAGGGTTGGGGTTGAGGCCCGGGCAACGAAAATTAGGGGGGCGAGGCGCGGGAAGGGCAACCCCAACCCTTAAAACCGCCGGCTACGCAGGCTAACACTGTTACGCCTGACGTTTTCTGCCAGTATTTCATAGACGGAATCATCGGTTAAGATGATGCACGCACGGAAGTTTGTCTGTGTACATGACCTACGGTGCAATTTGACGTGTATAATCTTCCGTTTCCCTCCTTTATACTGTATATGTTACCTCGTGCCATGCAGGTTACCTTTGGCCAGTTAGGAGCACCAATATATACACAACGGTTGCTCCAAAACTTTTATATATCAAAGATTACATCACATACATGCACTTAATATTTCGATCTTGATCTGACTTCGTCGTTGATGTTTTAAGACTCTTCAAGAACGTAAACTGAACTCTGTAACATGTGTTCACTAAGACGGTCTATATCTTGCACTATTACATATACTAACTAGTAAACTTTCCTCCTGTCCAACTTTTACTCTGATAATTGCGTCAATGGATTTGGCTCATAGACTAAACTAAACATAATTAAATTAATACGTTCACACATCTTAACAGTACTGTATGCAGAGATGAATTATGGGCGAACTATTTCTGTGCTCATCCAGAGGGATCATTCCTTATCCATCTCTGGGATAAATCAAACCATTTATTAACAACTCAATTTAGTTTTTAATTTCTATGTCAGAACCCGTACCTGCTGAAGATCCGCTCTGTGGAATAATTGATCCTTTGAGGATGATTGATGACGTTGAAGTAGCAATAGCTGCAAATACCTCTACGAACACTTCACCTGCCAAAAGTGATGTTGAACAATCAAACATCGTCTCTAGTACTGCTTCAGGTTTGATACAACTACAAATGTTCTTAGCCCTGAAAATATGTAAATTTAAGCCTTTATTCCACTAGGCGAATTTGTTGTGCAAAGCGAATCGGAAAACTAATTTCATACCCCGGTCCATCCCAAAACATCGCGAGCCCATCGGTGACGCCGTAGTCGTGCAAGAATCGGGTGCATGCATTAGTTTGGTCACGGCGAAAGCCAGACCTGCCAGACCTGCTAAACGTGGACTAAGTATTCCTCGGTTAGAACGAATATCAGCACATATGGCAGTCAATTTGACGATGAATGTCGGTGAAGAGTTGCAAGGATTTCCAGTGAGGAAACTTCACTGCTGGCTTGACAGCAGTGTTGCACTGCATTGGATTCGTGGAGCCACTATGGTGAAACCGAAGAGTATAAATATTAAGCAATTTGTTTTACAACTGGATGCAAAAGATTAAAGCGCACAACAAAATCAATTCACGTGAGCACGAAATTCAATCCTGCCGATCTTCGCAGTCACAGATAGCAGTGTGAAAGAGTCAAAGCTGTGGTGGCCACGTAGGTCCTGTATGGTTGACTGATCGTCACAGCTGACCTCCTGACATCTTGACAACTGCAAATGCAGAATCCCAAGCTTTAGCGAATCACATTACCGAAATTTGTTTTCCGTTTCCTTCCGTGAACAAGTTCGCGTTGTGCACACACCTCGATAACCCTCATCCTCTCAAAAAAGTTTCATTGAATAGGTCAGAGTTATCAAATAGCCTGCAAGGCAGGTGCATGATGTTTGGTGGGATAGAAAAAAGCATTTTCTTGACAAGTTTAATTGATTTGTTTTTGTGGTAGCGTGGTGTTTTCCACAAAAACATCAACTATATTAAAAAGAGTCTTTTCTTGACAAGTATGTTGAGCTTTAACTCGACCTCATACATACATGCTTCTATAGAAACAGTATGTGAGCTGTATATACCTGTAACTGTATATGCCATCAACCATGAAGTTCCAAAGTTCATTTTTTAAACTTTTTATTAAACATTTACGGCGTTCCATTTATCCAGTTTTGGTTTCAAATTAAGTTCACTCCAATAACCGGTGAATTATTCATACTTTGACAGTTATATACTATATAACAAAACACTTATTTACTGAGACCGCGGGAAAGCAGTGTGTTTTGTTACCCCCGACCGCCATTGTTGCTCTTGGCTTCGCCTCCGGCAACAACGGCGGTCTCGGGTCCACAAAACACACTGTTTCCCTCGGTCTCAGTAAATAAGTGATAATTATATTTTAGGGGAAGATGTCAAAAATGAGATACCAATACCCGCACCAGAGCCGGTTTCTAGCAGACCAAAAAGTGCATTTAACTGGGACAAGACCGATGTTGTCGAATACATTAAATCTCTCGGTTTTCCTAAGGAAGCTGCTGTGTTTGAAGAACAGGTAGGGAGTAACCACCGCACGCAATAATCCATTGCAGGTAATACTATACAGTATTAATATAATTTCAGTATTGAAAAATGGCCTTTGAGTATTCTGAATGGCTCCCTCAGCAGTAACTCTGAGGCAATAGTTACTGCTCTGAGCAGTAACAGCAGTAACTATTGCTTTTCCCCAAAAAAAATACTGAAAATCAGATGGAAGTAAATTATTTATGCAAATTATATTCATAAAATAAAACACGTGTATTAGTTCATTATAAATAAAACTTTTCAATGCTGAAATTATATACTAAAACAATTAGTCGCCTCAGGCTCGGTGATTACAACCCTATATTCACTTCGCCTTCGGCTCAGTGAGTATATAGGCTTGTAATCACCTCGCTTTCGGCGACTAATTGTTAATAAGTGTTGGTGGTAGCGGTGAGTGAATGTTACCAGGCCACTCTTTGATGAGGCCCCCAATGGCTGTAAGAATTCATCCCAGTTTACACTTTATCACAATCTGTGACCCATTATCAGAAAAAGCATTTCTCTTGATATTCACCAACCGGAAGACAAAATGAAGGTTCTGATGTTTTGAGCAGAAGCTCTTCGTCAGAAATGACATGGAAGACTCGGCCGGACAATGCCTGCTTGAAGGTATAAACAGAGTCTGGGCTGCCAGTGAGTCAACTGCACAAAGGGTAGCCTGCGAACAGGCGTTTATTCAGGTGGGCCGCATTGGTGGGCCTAGTAATAATAAACACAAAGGGGGACAAAGTAACTTTGGCTTAATTGAAATTCAAATTCTGCCGCAGTTTCAGTTAAATATTGTTTCATATATATACCAGAATGTGGGATATCAAAATCAAAATAAAACGCGTATACCGGAAGATAAAGTATAAATTATTATTTATTATTTATTTGTTGTTATAAGAAGAATGGGGACTATAGATTAGTATACATTACGAATATTATATCACCGCTACCACTAGTGGAAGTCAGGGGACCATTAACCAATTAGACGTGTTTTATATATCAGATTAACCAATCAGGTGCGTATACTAAGCCAGTGAGTGGTAGTGCATGATATACTGTAGCAGTAGACTAGTAGTGGAAGTTAGTTATGATCCTCTTTAATTAATACGCAGCGGTCTTTATCACGGCATCCTTTATACAATCTTCATGTGAAACGATTTGACGAATTTCATTGGACACTTATCTGATGAATAGTTAATTAACTTTAGAAATCATTTCTCAGATTCTTACATGTTGGCAATGTCTCAATCTTTTCCAGGAAATTGATGGTCCCTCATTAATGCTCATGTCAAGGACAGACCTCGTAACGTCCTTGCAGTTCAAACTGGGACCAGCGTTGAAAATTTATGCCAACATTGCCAAGTTGCAAGTCCAAACCTTACCTTCAGAGTAAGCCAGGAATATCTCGCTGACTCATGCTGTAGATATATGAAGCTCGATCTATACAGATCGTCTATGTATATATATACATGCACGTGTGTATATCTTGGACCACTGACATACATGTAGATAAATTTTCATTGTCACATATATAGGTATTTATACATTTACTTGCATAGTGCTTGTTATGCAATTTTGAGGGAATACCAAATGTTTTCCTTGCACTGTTGCAGGATTGCGTGATCCATGCACGAGGGATGTCGCGAGACTTTCGGAAAGCGTAAAAATACTCGAGCCGCGGGCGAGTGTATTTTTACGCTTTCCGAAAGTCGAGAGCGCAACATCCCAAGTGCATGGATCACGTATTGCATGTATCACGTATTACTAATACCATGGATAATAAAAAAAGTGGATAGGAAACTAGCTGACGTGACCTAATGTTTTTACTGGGATTGATGGCGTGGTTGGATGCCTCAACCTAGTTGAAAATCAAATTCTCAAAAACGGAATGTTTAGCAATAATACAGCTAGACATTTTAGTCAAAGGGCAAATAAATGTAACCACGCCATTCTACGATGAAAACTCTAAGTATTCCCAGTCAATTTTAGCAAATATTTCAAGCACTAAACAGTGAAAAATACATTGCAAATTTCGTTAAAATTTGTGATGCCAATTTCGTAGCTACAAATGTAAAAAAATACAAAACAAAGACGAAAAACATTTACCTTGAATACTGTGTTGTGGCTTAGGCATGTTTTTAAAACAATTAGACCAGTTTACGCTTCAAGATCACCCTTTTAAAGTGGAAAATATAGCAAAACAACAAAAATGTTGAGAACTTTGGTAACATTCGCAATACGCGTGACGTCACGTTTTTCAACAAGGATGCAGTCAATGACGTCAGAAGTTTCCTATCCAGTTATTTTACAATCCATGCTAATACCAAGGCAGTTGAATTCTTTTCAACACTAATAATAGGCTGCCGGTAAACGGATGCACTTTTAACGTTGGATACGCGTTAGCTTTAGAAAGATGTACGGGATTTTCTTTTTTTAGACATTTCCATGAAAGATGCATTGATATATTTAATTCTGTGTTCTGTAAACCAGTGGGCATATACAAAAGTCCGGAAGCTTCGGATAAAATGTGAACGAACGCTCGTGATTTTTGTGAAATATAATAAAAATATTCAGAACAAAACTTTTAACTTTTTATTGTTTCATGTGCATCTAAACTAAAGCATGCACGTATTTGAGTTCATGTCTTCTATTATCTGGAGCACTCGCCAAGAGCATATAGACAATCCCGAGAAGCGTATTGTCTATTGAAAATGCTATTTTTAAAACATTCAAAACCAAGGGAAATAATCAATTAGCTATAATTGAATGTCCTAAAAGTTCAAGAATATGAATAAACAATTTCTAAAGGAGCACAGTCATAACCTCAAGAATCGTTGATGATCGAGAATCATTAAGGCCCCCAAACGTTTAATTTGGCCCAAAAACCGCCCAATCAGGGCCGCACAGAGACATTAGAGGGGCCTATCTGCTCAGCTATTAAATTCTGAATGATCGGTAAAACATTTTCTTGTTGACAAGACATCCATATCATGGCAGTGTCTGGATTAATTCGTAAATGCAAAAATACCGTAATAAAGTGAATAATTATACAATAAAAGAATTTTGAACCTTTTTAATTTATATGTTCAATTCTATATTAATTTATTATATTATTCAGTTACCTTCACCTTTTTAAACTTTGCCTATCGGAGCGTGAAGTTTTGCACATGCCTACTTGTATAGCCGAGAGGAATGCATGCACGCGCAGAGGCCGTGGGTATACGAGGACTCTGTGACGAGGTTAAGAAAGGAATGAGGAAAGTGAATTGTTCAGTCTTTTTCACGATTGCATCAAAGACGATTAAAGTCGGGACATTTTTCAGTTTCGTTTCGGGCAATGGCAGTTACCTAGAAACTAATACAAATATAAACACCTGTTGCGTTGTTTTGGCGTGTTCAAAACATAAAATGCTAATTTAACCTTTTCAGGGTCGGCACGAATCCCAATGATTCGTAAGACACTAATACTCATCCGTTGATTGTATATACAAAGGACATTATATGCCTTTCCATAACTACATCACTTCATCAGGCGCTCATAGCATGTTTTCGCTTTGACTATACTCTATAGTGCCCATGGAGATCCTCGTGGAGATCAGTGGAGACGATTACTGTAAAACTATTGTTTTGTGTTTGTGGAAAACACCATTATTATATTTGGCATTTTCGCGGTGTTGCCATGATTCGTTATCGTTGATTGTAAGTAACAATGATAAGACAATACTGAATACAATAGAAAAGATTTTCTGAAGAACAAGTCAAAAACACAGACGCTTTAGCGTTAGGAACCCAATTACCTCTACAGTACTCAGTAGCTACATCTTCATTTTTTGGTCCATACTTACGACACTTAAATTTCAGTCCTAGAGGCTTAACTAAGGCCGGTATCGTAGCATTTTCTAATTTTCGAGCATTACTTTCACTCTAGTGCTCACGGTTGTGTAAGTGGGAAACGGCCCCCGTTCATTTTCAGTAAGACATGCATGCAGTAGCCGTCAAAAAAGTCGTATTCACCGCTATAATATTATATTAACTGCTATAATGGAAACTTTCCGTGTTATATACAGAAAGTGATGTCTCGTCTTTTAGTTCTGCTCTTTGGCCTCATAGAGAACGGCGCGAGAACCGGCATCCGGCCGGGCAGCCATGGCCCATGGGATTTGGGGAAACGGGAGTACTAGTATACTTCGTATCGGGAATAAATAAAGAGTTATATAAAACGAAAATGTAACAGGTTATTTTGGCCCTTACTGTAGCACTGCATATAGACTCTTAGGAAAACTGAATGCATGTGGTCACCAAAATGTTCATATTGACATATATATGCAAATAAAGCGTGCGGTTTCTGGTTTGTCCAGCTACAGCCGGTTTTGAACTGGAACCGAGGACGCTTTGCATGCATTTATGACGTGTGGTGCAACCCTAACTGCATTCTTTCTACCGATCGCTCGGGGAAGAAGGACGTTATCGCTTAAATTCTTTTTAAAAGCTTTCTGTGTTAACTCTCAAATTGGTTTCATTCTTATTATGATCAACGCTTTTAATGGTTTATCGGTGGTAGACGTTTATGGCTACGATTTTGACGCCTTCTGTGCAGCTGGAAACCGACTAAGGCAAGTCGTATTCGACGAAGGAAGTTAAGAAAAGCGAACATTTTAATGAACAATTTATCGTTGTAGTCGTATTAGAAAATTTAGAAAAGACATTACTTTTATATTGGGTAGTACTAGAATGAGAAACGAGAGTTCCTCAATGAAATTTAACGCTCTAAAAATGGCCAGATCTTCAAAAGAAGGCAAAGCGAAGTCGACGCACGTGAATGACACGGCAACTGGTCCACTCGGGATAATCGATGAAATTAATTTCACCATTGCGAAAGCCAAACATAACAAAGCCTATGTAGAGAAGTTTGCCAGCATAACCAATCGCCTTAGTAAAGTTTTGAACGGAGCAGACTCGGCGTTCATTCGTCAATCAGAATTCTATAGCGATTTGAAAGAAACACTACAGAAAATCTGGCATCATATTAACGAAAGGGCATCTCAGTCGAAGTTGATCAAGAAATTGCTGATGGGTAAGGACCAAAAGATGTATCATGAAATTGAACGTCATGTCGATCAGCTTATTACAAGAATCGTCTTTGCTTTCGCTCAAAGGGTACAAGTACACAAATCTGAATAGTAATTAGATATAAACTTGATAAGAAACAGGTCAAAATAACTGACAGCTGTATAAAAATTAACTGTAGTTTACAATGAACGTTTTAAATGCATGTGAATATCAAGCCAGATTCAAATCCATATTATTTTGCAGTCACAGCTAGAATTCTGAAGAAAGCATATAAATTATCCACATTCCCCACATAGAAGAAATGGGATCCCCCCCCCCCCCCCCTCCATACATCCAAATGTGCTTACACTGATCAAATATCATCACCCTCTTGCCCATGGAGAAGAGAGCTCATATTGTAGGGATTGTTTGTACAACTAATTATGACAACATTGATGCAAGACTGATTGTGTGCCATTGTCGTCATAAATTGTACTAAGACCAAAACATGTTTATCTTTGATCATTAATGAATGATAGCAAATCTGAGAATTAACTGTGTTTCAGGTACAATAGGGTATGGGTTATAATCTGGCTTGACTTGGCCTTATGTTGAAAAGTATTGTATATTGCTGTATTTCTAGTGGTTATCAATGGTGGTTCAATGAGTAGAGTGACTTCATAGTATTATTTATTAGCTAGCAATTTTTAGCCTAATTTATCCTTAATATGTAGTAGTAGTGTTATAAATTTATGATTTCAAATCTAAGCTTTTGCTTTGATTAACTCGTGGGCATTTGTTGCGGGAGAATGTACTGTAGGGGTGTTAATTAAGAGATGCGACACTGGATGCCAAGTTTATTGACATCATTCACAACAAACGCCTGTGGGGTGGTCAAGCCCATTGGCTTTAACCATCATTCATATATGCATTGGTGAAACGTAGGGGGTGATTAGAAATTATTTTGTATGACTGTTTAATTAAATGTATGACCATTAACATGTGCCATGACTGGGTTAAATGAACTATTCACTTGTCTCTTTTCAAATGAGGTTAGTTTTACTTGGTGCAGTTTATAAGGCTAGGAAAGACAATGAGGTGGACTTGTGGAAAGTCTACAATGTGCCCAAATGTACTAGATGATTTTAGTTGTCGAAAGGACTAATTTGGGGTGGGTTAATACATTTTAAGGCATTTGCCAAAGCAGCCAAACTATTTACCCCCAACTTTATTATACTCTACCCCTAATGCCAGATAAGTTTGCTAGGAGACTCTTGAACGGCATGGTTAAAAAAATACTAGACAGTAAGAAACCTGGGATTGGAATGTTTAAAACGGTAGACATTAACCCATTGAGTGGCAGCACTTTCCCCCTGACAAGTAAAACTGTCTGGCATTAGACAAAGTAAAATAAAGTAGGGCACATTTGGGCACACTGCCACTCGAAAGGGTTAATGAGCAGGGTACATTTCACAATTAGCAGTGCATTTTAATTTTAAGAATTTTTTAAGAGTGATGGGGCAAAAGGTCCATGCCACACTTTCCTTAGTTCCTTGTACATCTGCATGGCACTAATAAAGGGGGGGGGGGGGGGGAATAGGTTTTCGGATCGTCGGATTTCACGGAAAAAAATTTTCGGATCTGGCGAATATTTTACACGGATTTGCGGATCTTATTAATACAGCGGATTGCGGATTTATCTAATATTTTGGCTCGGATTGTGGATTTAGCTCGCAATTTAGTTTGGATACTGGATTGTGACTTCATAGTAGAGCTTTTAGCGGATTCAACTTTAGACAAGACCATTGTCGGATCGCGGATTTTGCTTCAAATTTGGGCGGATCAGCGGATTTGTATACCCCTATTCCCCAATAAACATGATTGTAAAAAAAAAACAGTTATAGGATATATAATTATGATCGGAGCCCTTGCAAAGCATTTCTAAATGTCAATCTGATTCCAATTGGAATGGGTTTTCAATCAACTAGAAGTTGCAGTTGGGGTCTGGGAACATGCTCCCCCAGGATAAATTGCAACCTTGGTTGGATAAATTGAGGTTAGATAAATTGAGGCTCAAAAAAGCCATTTCCTGCAGTTTCTGGCTCGGACTTGAAAGGTCATGCACAGCAATGCTACATTGCAACGGTTGCAATGCAACGGTTTTGGTGCATTAAATCACTTGCTGCGGGCTTGTGTACAGGCTCTTTCGCAGTTGACTAAAAATAGTTGTGAACAATAAGAGACTGGAGGGCATTGAGAGCTTTGAGTGGGATTTGTAAACAAAGAAAGTACGACAAAGAACAGCAGTTTTCTTGCCACTAGATATTCATTTATGCAAAGTGTTTTGAGGCAGCAACAAAGGGGACCTGAAAGCAGGGACGTGCTGGGGTCTTGAAAACGACGACGAATGAGCAACGTCTGGTGGGGCCCAGGCCCAGTGACGAATGGATCTAGATCGGGGTGGGGGGAATGGGGGTATTACTGATCAAACATGAAACATTTCAGTCGCTAAGTAAAAAAAAAATTTCCGGGCATACCATTTTTCAGTAACTTTCGAATTAATGTTATACCGTAATTTTCGCTAATATTTTCGTCAATTTAGACTTTTAAAATATAAATTGTAATATCTTAATCTTGAATTTCAAAATTAAAATCTATATTTTTTATCTTTTCCAATGTTTTAATCTTAGGGGGCCATGAGGCATGATGGCAGGGGCCCACAACAAGTTCTCGTCGACTCGTCCCTAGCCAGCACGTCCCTGCCTGAAAGAAGTAAGTACCCGGCCAATTCAGTTGAAATTTATCCTGACCTTATCGGAATCAGGCATATGGATAATCCCCCACCTCGCCGTTGCAAAATGTTAGCCCACAACCCCGTTGTTTCCATGCCAATACAGTACATGTTATTTAGCTGTCAGTAGCTAAAATTAGTTGCGTGCAGAACGAATTAACTCGCATTTTACACCGTTCATTAAATGAAACAAAACTGGTTGCCGTCTTTGAGAATTCATAACTTCTGGTCCTCCGATTCTCGCCCTTCGGAGTCCAGCTGGGCGAGAGCGAGCGACAGGTTCATGTATATATTATATTGGAAGTGATACAAACGTGTGCTAAGGCATCGGGGCGTGATGTCCAAAATTTAGACTATATCATGAACCATAGTGTACACACGAAATTGCGTTTTCCAGCAATAGTCCTTGATTCTTGAACACCGTTAGGATCGAGCCATCGGGTTTACAAAAGTTGGCGAGTTTTTCTGGACTGCTATAGAATAATATCGATATTCTGGGTCGATAATAATCTGTGATTCAGTTTCAGGAGTCCAGGTAAAATGTTCCTAATTTTCCTTTACGGTACATCGAGATGAAGTTTACAGTTGCAGCATGATAATCTGGCAAACCACCTGGAACAATAGAATTTACACTGTAAATCCCTCGCCAACCCAGCCTCTTGGCATCGACTTATTGTGTTGTTACTTGACATATTTAGGGGATCCTGTGCGGAAATGTATCAACAAGTTTGACAAGTGGATGCGTGGACATGTGGTTACTGAAGTACCTAGACAGTATGGCGGGGTATTTATTTCCTACACGTACTGTGCTATCAGCGGAATATGTGAATTATCAGAATTATCTCAAACGTCGGCACTGTTATAAATAATCGTGAGGTTCAGATTTGACGTCCGCTACCATTAAGGGACCATTAGCCAATCAGATGTGTTTGATATATCCGATCAACCAATCAGATGTTTAGTAATCCATTGAGAGGTAGTGGTAGTCAAATCTGAACCTCTCTAATAATCAGATTTGACTTCCACTATACCTCTCACTGGCTTAGTAAACATCTCATTGGTTGATCGGATATATCAAACACATCTGATTGGCTAATGGTCCCTTAATGGCAGCGGACGTCACATCTAAACCTCACTAATCATCATTCAGATAAATTCAGATGTCCTATGGAAGAAAACCCACTTCCATGTGGTTACGTATATATTAGAGAGCATTGATTTCAAGCAAGAACTGCTGGCGTTCACTCGCCATCTATGGCTCGACTGACTTACGGTTGGCGTACGTGTTGTCAAAAACGTCGCTTGCTCAAGTTCTCTATTAAAAAATCACAGAGCAAACCAAGAACGTACCACCAGTTTCGTATTTCATTTTACAAGCAATATAACGTAGAACAATATCAACATTGTCACATGGGTCTGGAAGATCATAAACATCGACATAACTGAAATAAAATATATGAAATACATATAACGTCACTGATCTATTTTGTTGATTGTATAGCAAAAATGCTTATCAACAATAATGATCGCATTATTGTTGAAAGCAACGACTATCGAATACGATAGGTCTAGTACGTGTCAGCTGTGTTTGGTTGATTCTTGCTAGCCCATTACCCAGAACGTGTTGGTTACGGTACCCAGAACGTGTTGGTTACTCGTGAAGAATAATGGTTTCAAGAAAGCGCGGTGGTGGGCCCTGCCAATGACTTTTCTATCTGATAAAAAGCACAGGGGAACTTTGCTTTACGGGCCGCGGAACTGCGGATCACGGGAGCCGTATAAACCGCAGTTTTCTCAAAAGTGCCTTTCTGGAGTGAAAGTGCCCTCGTTTTCTTGATTCGAAGTGTGCTTTTTCCACGATTAGGTAAAAGCTTGCCTCCGAACGCAGGAAATGGTGTTGCAGGGACCTTAAAAATCCAAATTATTCCGCAGGATGCATGACCCCGACCCCTTCCTTACATTTGTTCCAAAGAAAAGGTTTGGCCTAAGTACCCCATTGAAAGGTAAGCTCCTTTTAGCAGTTTTTTGAAGACTCCAAAGAGTAAACATTTCTTCGTAATAGTAATATCCCGTTAGTGGGTGACCACTTTAACCGGAGGTTCAACAGTCAATCATCATCGTACGCAGGTTCACGAGGTAGCCAATAAAAATCCAATTATGTAACTTGATCGGTTATTCGCGTTTACCTAAACTGATTGTGCTTATTTAGTGTATACAAAAGATAATCAGCAATGACGTGATGTCCAATCATGTGATCTGGAAAGCAACCTAGGAATAGAAAAGTACGCGTCAGTATACACGCAGCAACTGCTTGCATTCCGTAGGAATCACCGTGAATTAGAATCTGCTAAATGCAGGTTGCTCCTTATTTAGTTAACGAAGGGGCGGTATATAGCATTTTATTCAGTCGTAAAGCCGGTTTTCCATTAGGCGGAATTTTGCGCGCGCGGAGCGGAATTTTTCTTTGTCTTGTGATTTCTCGGGTGGAATTAATTAGAAACTGAAACATTCCACTTCGCGCGCAAAATTCCGCCTAGTGGAACACCGGCTTAAGTCAATAATACGTTTTTACATGTACACTGATCTCTGCATTGTTTTTGGTATTTTCATAGTAGTTTTCATACACCTTGTACTTCACAAGTAATTGACAATATTTTAAATGCGATTTACCAATGAGAGCCAATTTCATTCCTGTTTCCAACGTATCGATTTGATGCGAGGTAATGCCTAAAATAAGTCAAAAGGAAATTCTAAACAGCATGTGATGAACACCGCGAAAATGGGCAAGCAGTCGGTACGTTTTACCGTGGTGTTCATTTCATGTCGGTAATGCATGTTCAGCACGAGTTTATATTTCATACACGATGCACGGAGCGAGAAAATCAATTTCTCCCTAAGCATACCTGGTGAATCCAGAGCATACATTTTTGGTTCATCACAAACCTACATGAGTAAAAGTACATATTAATTATAACAATTGTAAAAACAATCTTTTCGTCTGTTACTATATACTCTAATACATATCATTAAATCAAATTGATCAAAATCATCAAATATCATACGCAAATTACATGGGACGAAATTCAAAATTTACATAACTCTAAATTTTACTTTAAAGGATTAGTGTCACACCAGGAATTCGCGGGTTCAAACTCCTGTCGGCGGCCACTTTTCGGGACGAATAGATTAGATGGTCGGGAAAGTATTTACAATCCGTCATATATTTAAACCATCCTTTTCTAATCCTTGCTCTTTTTGTGTGATTTTTATCAGAAATGTACCAAGCAAGGTATTTTTATCGCTATTTGTTGTATTTGAGTAAAATGTAAACAATAACAAAAGCCCGTAATGCATGACCTTGACACTAATCCTTTACGTTGCAGTTCGTACCTGAATTTTTTGTAAAACAGATCTAGTAATCCCTGGATCTCCACCAACTCTTGTTGCCTTTCCTGAAAATAATAGAACAGATAATTCTTGTGAATCTAATTCTTATAAATTTTGGCTTTATAAACCCGCAGCAAATATTATACATTTCATTTCTCAGACACTTGTGATAACATGAATGAATGAAGAACTTTATTTAACCGTGCTAACCCCGTCAACCGAAGCTGATTTCCACAGGGGGCGTGTAAGAACATCACTGATGATCAGTGATAATTAACGACCTTGCATGCAAATTTTGCAATACCCTCGTTTATATATTTCCTGTTCCTATATCAAATACCCTGTGTTCCAGAGCCTTCAGAAAGTTTCCTAGCTAGGGTTTCCTGTGTAATAAATTAAAGCTTCCCTCTCAAAACAATGTCTCAAGACCTTTAAAAACCTGAAAACCTCTGGCACCCAGGGTATATATCAAATAGAGAGGTTCAAATTTGACTACCACTACCTCTCAGGCTCTCACAGGCTTAATACGCATTTGATTGGTTAATCGGGTAGAATAAATGCATCTGATTGGATGAAGGTATATAACTGTGGTCAAAATCTGAATTAGAAATCGGAGTTAGAAATCCGTGGGACCAACCCCCCGCAGGGGGTTGTCCGTGTGCTCCATTCTCGGTTCCCCGATCGAACTTTCGAGGCCATCAAGTGTCTGCGGAACAAGAACCCCCGCTATAAGGAGGTTCTTGCGGCTCTTGAGGTTGAGGAGGTAGACGAGGAACTACCCACGGTAACACCTAGCGAACAACCCCATACCTCTGCTCAGGCAGATGGTTTATGGAGGGACCAGCTCCAACGGGCGATTAATATCGAACACCTTGATGTTGATGACCTGGACTGGGTGGCTGATGGTTGTGCTACTGAGGATATTCGGAAGAAACTCGATGAGTTGTTTGCGTCATGGGTCGGACACCTTGTGCGTGGTGAGCGGGCTCCTGCTAGGAGTCATCAGCCCACGACAGGTGCTGCGAACCCTAATCGTGAGTTAGATCCCCGAAGGCGTAGACGAGCGCAATTCTGCACGTGGTGACTCTGGCAGAGATGTAAGATGTGACTCATGCATGCGCCCAGAGACGGCTCAGCACATAATTCAGGTGTGTCCGAGAACCAGCGGTCCTAGAATGCGACGCCATGATCGCGTGGTCCAGTTCGTTTCGGCTGCTGCCGAACTGGCTGGCTACAAGGTTTTGGTTGAGCCTAGGATAGTTGGTCGTACTCTGGGTGTTCGGAAGCTTGATCTTGTTCTTTGGAATGAGAGTAGGGCCTACGTGGCGGATGTCACTGTCACTTCTGACCAAGTCGGGGGAGTTAAGGCACACCGTGATAAGGTTGCTTACTACGACCAACCAGAGATTCGGGAATGGGTCGAGAGATTTACTGGGCTATCGGACATTTCCTTTTCAGCGGTTGCCGCCAACTGGCGGGGTGTCGTGTCACATCTCAGCGCCGACTTTCTTAAGTCAGTGCTGAAATTGTCCAACTGGGATATTTCTTTGTTAGGTCTTCGGATCTGCGAAGAAACGTACCATATTCACCAGTACTTTGGGAGAAGTACGTATCGCGTTCGGGGTCGTGGACCATCGTAATTCCTTGTTGAAAACAATTATAACGTCGGCCGGTTTTCGGGCCAAATGCTGGAGTTCTTTTATCTTTTTATCCTTTTTAATATTAAAGGGAATCTGTAAAGACTTAAGTAAATAAATAGCCAAATGCCTCGTCATCTAATTAGTGACGCGCATGAATGGATTAACGAGATTCCCACTGTCCCTATCTACTATCTAGCGAAACCACAGCCAAGGGAACGGGCTTGGCAGCAACAGCGGGGAAAGAAGACCCTGTTGAGCTTGACTCTAGTCTGACTCTGTGAAAAAACATGAGAGGTGTAGAATAAGTGGGAGGAGCAATCCGCCGGTGAAATACCACTACTCTTATCGTTTTTTTACTTATTCGGTGAAGCGGAGCTGGACCTCAACGTCCACTTTTTAGCATTAAGATCGCTCTTCTGCCGGTCGATCCGAGCCGAAGACACTGTCAGGTTGGGAGTTTGGCTGGGGCGGCACGACTGTCAAATGATAACGCAGGTGTCCTAAGGTGAGCTCAATGATAACGGAAATCTCATGTAGAACAAAAGGGTACAAGCTCACTTGATTTTGATTTTCAGTATGAATACAAACTGTGAACGCATGGCCTATCGATCCCTTAGTCTTTACGAGTTTTAAGCTAGGGGTGTCAGAAAAGTTACCACAGGGATAACCCAAGACTACCAACGTCACCAGTTTACGTCCAACCCTTCCCACCCTGCTTATTCAAGAACTCTGACGAAAGGTGCTCTTTTTTGAGACAGTCAAAGATGGCATTATTTAACATCCTCTGTCTTTAGGAACTGATATGTCTTATGTTATGCGGATTTGGTGAAGGACTGTAATGCTACATTAACATTTTATCTGCAAGCAAAACTGTATTTTTCTTCGATTTTCGAAAGTGTAACAATGTTTGTTAATGGGGAAATTCATTTTGCAATCTGGAACGATATTCGGAAAGAGGTATGTTTCGCCATATTTCAGGCAAATGTTTAATATTCATGTCAGACATTGAAACGTTCATGGTGAACGTCACGCATTTTTGAGGTTCAATAAATAATGAAACACCTTTTACTAGTGGGCGCTTGAATTTGGACTCGCTTTGTTAATTTTACCCGCGTGGACAGAAATGCACATGTCAATAAGTCGGCCCGAAGTAAATGAACGTCAGCAAAATTTTGTATACCAGTTTTTCATGGAAGGTTATGTAGCAGACTGAAATATGGAGACATAAATTAAAAGTGTGAAGGGTGTAAAAAATCTTGAAATATGCTGTTTCGGCCATATTTGGCCATTTATCACCCGCCCGAAAATTATATTTTTTGCGACAATTTTTACTGATCTAACTAGAAAGTAGTCAAGTAGTGTAATGATGCATTTATATTTCACCTGGCGGTAAAAATGAATTTTTACTCGATTTTCAAAAATTTAAAAATGTTAATTGGACCTGCAATTTGGAACGACAGTCGGCCAGCTATATCTTCCGCAATATTTTAGCCACATGTCAAATATTAATATCAGGCATTGTACAGGTCCTGGGGCACGTCAAGCATTTGTCAGCGTGAATAAAATATAAAACACCTTTTACTAATACGCACTTGAATTTGGATTTGAATTTGTTAATATTAACCTGCGCGGACAGAAATACACATGTCAATAACACGGGACGAAAAAATAGATCCGCACTAAATTTGCAATAGTTGCGAATTTGATGCAAATTTAGTAGTTTGAATTCGCAACCATTGCGAATTCATCTTTGCACCTAGATAAATTTGCTTCATATTTGCGTACATCTTTGCAGGCTTGCAAATTTAATACTATATTTGCAACACATTTGCACATAACTGCCAATTTTGTGGCAAATTCTTCAAGCTGGCTTTGTTTTTATTATTTCCAAGTCAACATATATTTTGAACTAAGTCTAAGATTTCAAAATTAGTTTGTTTAGAATTTTTTTAATTCAAATATTTTGAAGAGTATTTTATATTCTGCGATTTACGAGAGAGCTCCTGACAAATTACCGATTTATTATTTACTGTCGAAGGCTCTGGAATCCAGGGTACTGACAAATACTCATCTATATAATGTACCTATATCATTTCTATTTTAAAGTTTTAAAGACTTTAAAATGTAGGACTTCTCAAGAGTAGAGACGAGTGGTTTGTTATCGTAATTGTTTTGATAAAACACTCCCGATATATTTTGTTTTTGGAAGCACAGAAAGTTGTTCAATCGCGTTGATGTTGGGATTGAATTGATACTGCTGTAGTGTGAATCTTGTGTACTGATAACCTATTTGTAGAAAGTCATGCAGCATTAACACCATTGCAGGAGATGCAAGGACGTTAAGTCGTATATTTTGGAACACATTTGCAATAAATTGGCATATGCATTCGCACACTGAATGGGTAGTAGCAAATCTAATGACATATTTGCATCAACTTTGCACAACGGGCAAATATATTGGAAATATTAGAAGTCAGTTAATGCATTGATTAATAGAAATAGCTTTTCCAATTGCAATCTTTCTATATTTTCCAGTAACAGCAACATGCACTATAGCGCCGAAGCAAGCATTTATATTGCGTGAGTAAACAGCAGCGTAACTGGTACATAAATAATAGATGAAAATGCGCGTGACTGTGTTGCAGATGCATGTATTTGGAAAAATTGTATTTTCTTCTATACTTTTATCCGAATAATCTAGCTAATTGTATAATATACTTTCATGGTTTTCATAATCAGCCAACTGATCCTGCATATATAGGCTATGAACTGTCCGAAGTTCTATAAGATTGCAAAAAATATACGTGAAGTCTTTAGATAATTATCTAGCTATATTCGATAATGACTTGGAGACTTGTGCTGTCTATACCGAAACTACACTAGGGTCACTCAGCGTAAAAAAAGTGTCCACATTGTTTACTGGCTGCCAACCTGTAATTAACACATTGGCAGCCAGAAACGGCAGCAGTTCACTATAAAATTGTATTACAGAGTAATGATGTTAGCCGCATAAAACACCTGGGATCTAGCTTAAATAATTCCCACTTTTCTCTCCCCTATACGGCTATAAGTGGCCCTACTGGTTGTCTCCCTATACTGTGGTCTATACCTTACAAAATGAATCAGTATGATGGGAGAATTACAATGTGGTGTAATAAAATTTGAAACCAAATTGGCAATAAATTGGCATACTCCTTGGCATATTGAAGTATACGTAGCAAATTTGATACAAAATTTGCATCAAATTCGCATATAGCGCAAATTTATTGCATATATACTTTATGTTTTCGAAAGCTTGTCGTTAAAACTGACGTCCACTTGTCATTAATTTGTTCATTATTTGCTAGATTTTTTCCCCATTTTTTTAACACAATTCAGACATACTTTGTAAACGCAGTCTGAAACTATATCTGATACCCCAGCGTGTCACAAGTGCAACTTGAATTCATATAATCTAGATGCTGAAACAGTGAAACAAACCATCTTCAAAACATTTCTTCAACGATGAAGAGTTGATTTTAATCGCCAGGGCAGTTTTGCTGAAATAGTCAAAACTTGTTTGCAATTACTTGCTTGATACTAGGAATATTAAGCTAAATTAGGGCAAAGAGTGCGTGGACGTTCAAGACGGCAAAAAGCTGCAGAATTTGTTTTTTCCCATTAATATGGCAATTGCTAGGCCTATAGTTATCAAAGCAAGAAAGAAAATGTGAAGATAGTTGCACCCAGGTACAAACAAGTGAATATAGTAGCTACCACCACCATATTACCGATTACTCAAATCTCTAATCACCCTAATCGTCTGCCGCCCGCAACTGCATGCAGGCTAGATGTTCTTTGGCGGGAAAATTGACCAATCACGTAGCCATATTTATCTTCGAAGCCGCGAAGTCAGAACAAAAATATTTTTTTGACAACAAACTGCAAGCTTTTGTTACTCAAAAAAAAGCACCAAAACATATTATTTTAGTGTCGAAGGGACAAAATAGAGCACCATAAATGAAAATGTGGAGTACATGCTGCCTTTTGTGAAAGATATACGACGATTAAAGCTTAAAATGTTTGGAAATACGACGTTTGTTTTGAGCAAAATATCCGACAAAACAACAAAATGGCTTTTATTTCTCCACCAAAAAGACTTTATTTCACAGCTAAATCAACAATGAAAGTTGTATTTGGACTCTCAAAAAAAGGTTAGTAGATTTTACTTCATATCTAGTCATCTATATTTTCTTCTAGAATGTTTTTCAGATCGCTCTTGAGCTTTTGCCGAGCTTTTGATTTCTTTGTTTTCCAGACTTTTGACCACAGAAATTCATTTTATAGCTCTGATTTGACATTATGTGACTTTGTCCTCGTGTATGTCTAGATATATTTTAACTTTAACTATAATATTTAGTATAGCATAATATATTTCGCTTACTTTACAAGCTTCCAAGCTGGCATAACTACAAGAAACAAGGCCAGAGTTTCCTTTTTTATTGTTTTTCCTTTGTATGTCTGGCTTGTATTTGTCCACTATTTTCACTTATTTTGTTGTTTATTTTACTATTCTGTTACTATTATCAAGCTTTACCCTTCTTAATTTGAACCACAAGTGGGTTAAGAATTAAATCTGATTTAAATTGAAACCTTGGATCTATATCTATACAGGATTGGATATTTATAAAGCTGCCGAGGCAAAGTCAAGTGGCGGGGGGTGGGGTGCTCAGGAGGTACGTGAGGCGTGAGCCCTCCTCCTTCTTGGGGTTCGACCCCTTAATATTTTGACTCAAGGCACTAGCTAGATAAGCCCATTGTTAAATGATAAAACAGAAACTGACCTCTATTTATCAAATCTTATTGCTTAAGCCTTGTTGTTTAGTTTGCCTATTCTACGATATATGATATGATCTGAATTTAAGTTTAAAATTTGTATACCCCAAAGTATATAGCAAGGTATAAGAATAAAGGCACTAGCATGGAGAAAGATGTTATATTTTGTTTGATACAAATAAATTGCATTAAAAATCATGATAATTATTAATTAATAATGATGATTCACTGATGCAGTATTTAATCATGATCATGACACACAGACCATTTTACTAGTTGTCATAGTTGAAACATATTTACTTGAAACAATTGTCACTCCATATCTTGTGGTATTATTATCAACATTTTAAATAATTCAGGAAAATTAGTATATCATGCATGTCAATCCATCAATATTTGACAAGTGAGATAAACTAACCATTTGCCTTGTACCTGTACCTGTATACCTGTATACCTGTACCTGTATACCTGTACCTGTATACCTGTACCTGTACCTGTATACCTGTACCTGCACCATTACCTGTACCTGTACCTGTACCTGTACATGTACCTGTACATGTACCTGTACCTGTACCTGTACAATAACTTTATAGCTATAGATTAACCACACCACTTTTCTGACTTTGTCAAATGTCAAATCATGTCAAATAAAGTTAAATTTCAATACATTCATACAGGGAATTGAAGCAGACACTGCATGGGTATACATGGAATAGAAAATTCCAGGAATTAGCAATTTCCTTCTATCACTGACCTGGTTTCAGGAAAGTTCTTTTACAAGTTTCAGGTCAGGTAAGAATATTTCGTTTATTTTTTTAAATATTTAATTTATCAAAACCTTAAATGGCATTACCACACTTTACATTAGTATATGTTGAATATCTGAAACTTCAATTTGTAGCTAATTATGCTAATGTAAAACTGAATTCATGATGATATTTTTCTGTGTTGGGG